TTTATTTATTTTTGGGACAGAGAGAGACAGAGCATGAACGGGGGAGAGGCAGAGAGAGAGGGAGACACAGAATCGGAAACAGGCTCCAGGCTCCGAGCCATCAGCCCAGAGCCTGACGCGGGGCTCGAACTCCCGGACCGCGAGATCGTGACCTGGCTGAAGTCGGACGCTCAACCGACTGCGCCACCCAGGCGCCCCCAGAAAGATATTTCTAAGACCTCAGTCAGATCACGTCTCTGTCCTGCTCCAAACACTCCACTGCCCTCCTGCCGCGCGAAGGGTACATCCGAGGGACCCGAAGCAGCCCCTGCTCCCCCCGTGTCCCTCAGGTTCCTCCCACTTCAGCCGCACTGACCTTGTTTCAGTTCTTCAGATCCTTCGAGTCTGTCCTTGCCTCGGGGCCTTTATACTTCTGTCCCCCCTACCTGAAGTCTTCTTCCTCCACACATTACCATCATGTAATCTTGTCATTTAGATCTGTTGTCATTAGACATGTGTTCAGCTGTTAGGAAAACCCAACTCACAGGGGCACTTCCTTTGTCTTATGTACTAGAAAGTCTGGAGGAGGAAGGTCCGGGGCTTGTGCGGTGGTGCTGTGAGGTTACTGAAGGCCCAGGGTCTTTTCGTCGTCTACATCCCCTTTCTATGCCGACTTTTGCCCTCCTGATTGTTGCTTCCTGGTCACAAAATGGCTCCCATACCTGCAGGCATCACAGCCATGTTCTAGGCAAGAGGAAAGGTGGATGCTGCCCTTCCTGACCTCGCCGTCTAATGGTGCCTCCCTGGGCACGCTTCACCTCATTTCCCCATCTTATTCTGATCCTGCACCATACTTGGAGTTTGCGTCCTTGCGTCCTTGCTTGTTGACCGACTCTTGCCACTGAAATAAAAGCTCCCAAAGAGCAGGACTGCACCCACCTTGGGCATTGCCAGCCCCCTCCCTGCCCCCCGCTGCCGCACAGTCTTTGGAGCGTAGGAATGTTTGTCGAATGAGCGAACAGTTAAGTCCCCTCTAGGTGCCGGAGTCAGGACGCAAACCCAGGTCTCCCACTTCACGGGCTTGGACATCTCACGGAGTGTCTCTGGGACCCTCTCTGTGAGGAATCCAGGCAGCCCAGTCCATTTGCAGTTCCAGGCATATGAACAAGGAGCCTGTGTTTTCAGGCCTGGATACAGAGAGAGAGAGAGAGACAGAGAGAGAGAGAGAGAGAAATCCTCCCCTGCCCCCCCACTGGGATTTGGGGAGTGCTCCTTACTTAGTGTGAGGCTGTAATTTCCTCAAAGGCTGGCTGGCCAGCAAGGTGGTCCTGGGTCGTGCGGAGCCCAGAGTTAAATGGCAACATCTCACCTAGGGGGCAAGTGCCCCCCTTTCTGAGGGAGCTTTAGGGGAGCGACAATATCTAACTAGAATCTAATAACCTTTTTTTTTTGTTGTTGTTTTATTGTATTTATTTTTGTAAGGTCCTGCCTATGATACAGACATTACATTTGGATAGTCACATAGAGTTTCCCATTTAAATAAATATATTGCAGTGCTCAAAGAGTGAACCCATCAAGGAGCACTAGTGAGGGTGGACTAAGGGTCTGGCACAAATGCCGATCATCACGTCTGCCTGCTTCCAGAACATTTTCATCCCACTTTTTTAATGGCCAAATAATACTCCATCGTTTGGGTTTATCCATTGATCCGTGGGTAGTTCCATCGTTTGGTGACTGAATAGTGCTGGCGAGAGCACGGGTGCCCTTTAGACAGCTTCGCGTGCAGCCACCCACCAGCCCACAGCAGCCCAACCCACGGGGCCCAGGGCAAGTGTCGTCACCCCACACATCCTTGTCCCGAATCAATGTCCCTTTGGGTCTCCAACTTCTTTTAGGCTGGATGTTGGCAACGGTCACCGCAGGGCACAGAGACTTGCTACATACGGTGGCCTCAGTCCAAACTAGGCAACAGTGTGTTTCTGGGCAGAGTTGTGTCACCCCAAAATTCCTATGTTGAAGTCCGGGACCTCAGAATGGGGCTGTATTTGGAGATAGTCTTTAAAGAGGCAAGTGAGGTGAAATGAGGTCACATGGGTGGCCCTGACCCGATCTGACTGGCTACTTCAGAAGAAGAGAAAATCTGGACCCACAAGGAGACACGAGGAGCGTGCGTGCGTGCGTGCGTGTGCGCGCGCGCGCGTGCGCACAGGGGGTCACGTGAGGACCGGTCTGTAGTACTTTGTTGTGGCAGCCCTAGCGAATGAATACACAGTATGTTTCAATGTCCTGGGAATATATCCTGAATCGCCTCCCTTCCCCTGCCATCCCCCAGCCCCAGTCCGGCTGCGAAATCAATACACGAATGGATGTCTCGCCTACCTCACGCTCCCGAGGGAGGCGCAGGCCATACAAGGCACTGCAAAAAGGCACTATTATTACCAAACCATCTTGGCCCAGTTTGCCTATCTCCTCCTCATATCAACACGGGAACGGTCCCATAGGGGCACCTGGGTGGCTCAGTTGGTTCAGCGTCTGACTCTCGGTTTCAGCTCAGGTCATGATTACACGGTTCACGGGATCAAGCCCCACACTGGGCTCTGCGGTGACAGCACAGAGCCTGCTTGGGATTCTCTCTCTCCCTCCCCCCCTCCCCCGCTCACATGTGCGCTCGCTCTCTCTAAATGAATTAACGAACTTAAAAAACCAACACTGGAATGTCACCCGTTCGCGTCACCCTTCGGTATCCTTGCCCCGTCTGCCCCAGCCCTGAACTAGGGCTGATGGAAGGCAGCGGCCTCATCCATCTATTCCTCTGTCACCAGGGCTTTTTCACAACCTGGCACAGAGCAGGTGCTCAGCAAGGATTAGGTGACAAATGAGCGAGTGACATACCTCCCATGGATCACCACAACTGCCAAGTAGGCTCACCGCTCATGCTGGCCGCTATCAGTCTCCACCAAGAAGATAAATTAGGAGCGATCTGTGCCTTTCCCAGACTCGCTGTGTGTAACTGTGGCAACTGTTTTATCTTAACGGGCGTGAACGGCATGTGCTGGGGGTTCCCGAAGAGTGTGGTTTCTGCACACACACCGGGGCCTTTTCTGCATCCGAGGTGGCCTGCCGACGGGTGGGATGACGGAGGCTCCCCAGGAACATCCTGGAAGGACACTGGCCAGCTGCAGTTGGGCTAACGACTGCGCTTTTGCAGCAGGGAGCACAGGTAGGCCCACTTTTGTCTCACCAAGTGGAGAGCTGTGCCAAAAGGAGTTTAGGAAGGGGCTGTTCCAGCTGCCTACTGCCGCGTAACCAGCCACTTCACGGAGGCATAGAGCAGCAGCCATTTGATCCTGCTCATGCAGTCTGTGGGTCAGGAATCCAGACAGAGCACAGCAGGGAGGGCTTATCTCTGTCCCTCCACGTCTGGGGCCTCCATGGGGGCGGCGTGAAGAGGGTGCCGGTGACGCTTCGGGAAAACAGCCCCCGCTGGTGGGAGCGGAGGGCGGTCGGGCCGTATTTATCACAGTGACAAGCGCCCACAGCCTTTGACCCAGCAAGTTCCCTTTTGGAAATGATCCCACGGGAAGACATGCGCACGGGCACTAGGAAGTTGTGCAAGTGTACGCACCGCAGCCCTCTCGGAAACGGTAAAAGACTACGGGAGGCTGGCTAGGAAAATCATGGTTCTGGTAAGACAAAGTGGTGTGTGCTGAGAGCGACCTCCAAGATTCGGTGGAGAGAGAAACGCGAGTCCCGGAGCTGTGTGCGTGGCACGCACCCTGTGGGTCAAAGAAAACAGTTGTTTTGAATAGACGCATACCCTTGCCCCGGTCTGGACGATCCGTGGACACAGAAGAAAGGGACCAGCGATAGCTTTAGGAGGAGTCAAGGATGAGGCAATGAGAAGACAGGATACGAGAAACTTATTTTCGCCGCATATCGCTTTGCAATTTGAATTCGATGGGTGAATACATCACCCATTCGGATTTAAAATTCTATTTTAAAAATGCTCATTTTTGATGCCTCACATCAGAAGTTCAGACCTTCACGTTAAAATATTATACTAAAGGTGTTTATATAGAGGTGTTTAGTATAAGATATTATACTAAAGGTGTTTCTGTTTGCCTTTCCCACATGCTTACTACGTGCTATGAAGCATCCGTGCAGTAATTTGTTGAACACATACTTGTTTCCCTCCTCGTACAGAGGTGTGCAGTGGCTGGTGTGGGAATGGCGTCGGTGGTTCCCGTCCTGCGCTTGCCTTTTTAGGCTCTTCTTCACAGCCAGGACCGGGAGCCTGCAAACCTCATTTCCCAGATGCCCTGGTCAGGTGACCCTGCCTCCAGGAGGCACCAGCAGGGCTTCAGAAGACAGGAGGGAGGGAGGAGCCATCCCAGCCCAGGATTCTGGTGGCCCCTCAGGCCGTGGTGGTGACAGCAGCTGTGTGACAGTAGCACCCCTGAGGGTGTGGCTCTCAATTCCTGCTCCAGCGAGCAGGAATCACGGTTCTGGGAAACATTATTTCTCCTTTTGCTCCTCTGGTCTTAGGGGCCACAGCCGCTCCCTCCAGTTACTAATCTGTGGGTGTCCTCATTGTTCCCTGGCTCCTCCTGCCCTCCCAACACCTCTGTAAACAATGCCCTGTATTACATTCCTTCTGTCTGAAATACCTAGGGTGGCTTTCCCCACCCCCTAACTAGACACTAACACACAGGTAAAATTACGCCCATTTTACAGATGAGAACACTGAAATTCAGAGAGAGGAAGTGACTTAACCAAAGGCAAACCCAGCACCTCTCCTCCCTCACCATGCTCCAGGTATCCTCATCTCATTTCTGGAACACATCAAGCTTGCTCACACGCCAGAGCCTTCACGCCTCTTCTCTTGTGCAGAACATTCTGTCGCTAGGTCTACATGTGCACACTGTTTCTCTTCATTCAGGTCCTGTCCAAACGTTACCTCTTGAGAGAGGGCTCCTGTAGCCACCCACAATCCCCAAGCCACTCTACATCACCCTGCTTGATTTCTTCTTAGAAATTCTCTGAAAATATTTACTCACACTGGAAAGCCCATGAGACCAGGAACAGTGCTTACCTTACTAAATGCTGTGTCTGGTGCCTGAGAGTACCTGGCACTGAATGTGCACTCAACACTTGTTGGCTCTAAGAATGAATGAGTGAAAAGGGTGCAGGAGAAGTGCCATTATTTTTGAGCACCAGCGAGGCCCCACCTTTCCCACCGGCTGGTTGTCTGCTAGCAGTTCAGGGGTCTCTTCAGGAGGCTCCACTGCGCGGGAGGCCACAGGAATTTCAATTCCCACCATTCAGGATGTACCCTCAGTAACTGGGTGCTCAGTTACTACGAGCTGAGTGAACCAGCCTCCCTATGAACCTTCCCGAAGATGTCTGTGCACTATCAGTGATCAAGAGGCAACATTCTGGGGGTGAGGGCAGGATCTCAGCTCAAGTCAGCAGACTGGAAGCAGATGGCCTGCTAGAAGTTAAGCGCAAGAGCCAGGGAGATGGGAAGATCATGCTAGGTCCACAGCTATTGGAGCACTTAACATTTCCTCTGTGCTTTAGACTCTGGCCTGGGACCTGTCCTCGTTGACGAAGGTGGCGTTTCCAGAGCTTTTCCTGAGAGGCACCAGAGCATGGTGTGATCTCTGCAATCGGACAGCTTGGGTTCAATTCCTGGCACCATTCTTGACCCGGCAGGGTGACCTTGGCAAGTCACTTGGGCGGTTCCCTCATTTGCACAATGAGAATGCTGATAACACTTTCACAAGGCTGTTGTGAAGATGAGAAGAGTTAAATCACTTAACATATGACACTTGGAACACATAACACTTTGAACAGGGCTTGGCACCCATAGCCATCAGCTGTTCTTGTTACCTTATCTAACATTTATCTGGATAAGTTCCATGCCCGTATCATCCTATATCATGTCCATAGCAGTTGTGTGAGGAGAGGTACTAATATCACCGCTGCTTGGCCAACAAGGAAGCTGTGAGAAGCAGGTTCTAGAAGCAGCCCCAGATCCAGAATGTGGAGCCATGCTTCAAACCCAGCTGTTCTAGAATCCCCAGAAACCCTCGAGAAGACAAAAAAGTTTGAGGGACCAGACTCAAGTCTAAAGGATAGTTGGGGGGGGGGGGCGCGGGGGGGGGACGGACAAAGGATTGTTGGCTGGGAGACAAAGACTTTTAGGGAAAACATGAAACAACTAGGGACCTACAAATGTTCTGAATTCGCGAGCCTGGCAAGTTCCAAGCAAGGAGAGGCAGTTGAACCTGGTCAGTTAGACAACCTCCAAACCACGAAGGGGCTTCCAGATTGTGCTAAGGAGCTTGAATTTCATCGTATAGGTGATGAGGGACTGTGAGAAGATTTCAAGCATTTAAATCTACCGCAGAATGTGAGCTGGAAGGAAATACTGATGAATCCTCAGTGGTAAAAGTGCCTTCTACACCTGCCAACCCCCTGCCCAGGCTTGCTGAGCTCCGCCAGAGTTGGATGCTGGGAGCGCTGTGCTTCTTCCTGTCTCTGAATCTGGACATTTTGACATATTAAGAGGTGCTCAAATATTTATGGAGCCCCCTAATGTGTCTGGCAGCGTTGTCTGTGGAAAGCAGGAGAGGGACTATAAGTTCAAACACTGCAAAGGTTCCCCCCAAATAGCCCAAAGGTTCACGGGAGCCGCATCTAGGAATCCGTGGTTTCCATTTAGTCTCTCCTGACTTTACAGCAGCGTCCAGGCAGGGAAATGCCAGGTCCTGTGCAGGGATCCCGTCGGGGGCGGCGGGGGTGTTGCCCCCCATATACCTTCAAAGACACGGAAATATGCGATTATGCTCACGTCCCCGCACCAAGACACGGGTGGGAGGCGTGGTGGAGACCAAAGGGCCTAAGTTGGCCCACCTAAAATCGGCTTTTCTCTCCACGGGACCATGTTTCTTTCATAGCAATGATCGCGTGTTGTAGTTCTTCCTCTTCTCTGCTTTGAGATTCTCAATTCCAACAGTCTGCAAGCAGGGACTTTCGTGGCAGCAGGGACCGCGTCTGTCCTGTCCCCAGAGCATCCCGGGAGTCCAGAGCATTTGGGGGAATGGAGCGGGAGTAGCGAGGGCCTCCGAGAAGGGCCGGTGGCGCCTCGGGCCCCTCGGTGACCTTAGTGGACAGAGGCGGCTGTGAAGGGCAGATCGGGCCGCCTTCGCGGAGGGCGAGACCGAGGCGCCGGCTGGACGCGCCGGCTGCGGGGCGGGCGCGAGGGCGGCGAGCGCGGGTAGGACCGGCAAGCGACAGGCGGGCCTCACAGAAAGCGCGGCGCCGCTCGGCGACTGCAGCGGGCAGCGCCGGGTCGCCTCCCGCGTGGCGCTCTGGGAGTTGTAGGCACTTTCCTTTCCACTCTCCTTCCGCGCTTTGCTCTTGAAGCCCAAGGCCGTACTAACGGGTGGGCGCCTGTAACTCCTAGCCTGTGAACTTTGGGAATTTTAATTTCTAAAAAGGTGTCCTGAATAGAACTCCTCCCAGAGTGCCTCCTTCTACTGGAAGGTTTGAGGACTACATTTCCCAGGCGACGTCAAGGAGGCGGTGCTTCCGGCGCGCGAGATGCATTGTGGACATTGTAGTCCCGTGGGGGCTCGATTTTCACCTCCCGGACAGTCCGGGGATGTGGCCCGGACTACATTTCCCTTCAGTCCGCCCGCTATCCCGAGGCCGTCTTGGCGCGAGACATTTGCGAGCAGAGTGTCTCCAAGATGGCCGCTTGGGGAAGGAGGCGTCTTGGCCCGGGCAGCAGTGGCGGCAGCGCCCGAGAGAGGTGAGATCCGGGGGCTTGTTGCTCTCCCAGGACGAGTGGCTTAGGAGCCGGGGAGCCAGTAAAGCCTCCTGGAGCCGCACCGCTGCCCCTGCCTTCGTACCCGGGCTCCCCCTTCTCGCCCACTCGCCCTCCTCGTACCCCTGCGGGGCACGCGGGGTTCCTGCTCGGGCCGACCCAGGATCTGGGCGGGAGCCGGCGCCCCCTCTAGCTGGGCTGAGGCGGTCTCCATGGAGGGTTCAGGGGAGGTGACGATGGCGGGGCCGGGCGAAGTGGGCCGCGGCCGTACAGGGTCGGGCCGGGGATCGAGGCCGGGCCACGCGGGAAGGATCCGGAGCCCCGCGCAGGCCCGAGGGACACCCGCCTAGCATCCCGCGGCCGAGCGGCGACCGAAGCTCCCGTCCCACCTGGCCACGAGCGTGGTCATATTGGCCGCGACCCCTGACGTGGCGAGGAATAGCTCGGGGAAGGGAGAAGGAAGGGGAAACCTTCACTAAGTGGGCCAGCTGCGGGCAGGGCAGTGCAGTCTGCACGTCTATCAGGGGAGCCTTAACCTTCCCCAGTTTGTCTCCCGGGCCGAGAACCGGCCGCTTCCTCGAACCCTCGATGTTTGCGACTTTTCGCGGGTTCTCTGCAAGCGCCCCTGCCGTGGAAGTCCTTTGAAGTGACCTTTCCTAATGAATGGTGTGTGGGTACGGAGCTAGGGACTCGTGTCTTCCAAGGTGGATCTCGATTTGTAGAACTGACTTCTAGAAGATGAGATGGAATAGTTTTCGTGTTTCGTGTTGAATTTACAGTTTTTGCTTCAGGAAAGCAGTGTCACCTAGTAGAAGCCACTAGAAGCTAGCTGTTCAGCTACCAGAAATTTGGGAAAGGATGTGTATTGGTGGAATCACCTGGATTCGACTGCTCAGTCCATTTTGTTACGGCTTGGTTGGTATAGCAGAGGTCAGCAGGAAAGTTTTGTGTTTGCTCTTTTTTGTCTTTTTGGAGAGGCTTTATATTTAACAGAAAAGTTATCTTTCTCTCTCTCCCCTCACCCCCCCCCCCTTTCTCTCAACTACCCTCCTTTTCCTTTTCTTTGATTCTATCACGTTCATTGCTGTTTAGTGCAGATGGCTTTCTCAGCTCAGAAGATTTCTTTTTGATAGTTGTGATAAACCAGCTTGCATTTTATTCTTAAGCTCAGAGTTATCCAACGTTATCAGTTCTGCATTTCCTCTTCCTTGGAAAAGCAGTGAATGGCAAGCAGATATTTTTGTTTTTCCAACTGTCATCTGGTATTTCTTAGATCAGACCATAGGAAGGAGTTAAAGGTTTCCAGATGGTCTTTAAACCTGGCAAACGTCTTCAAGGTCTTCAATCTGAACATTGATCTTTTAGTAATAGGAAGTAACCTGTTTAGAAAACTCAAGAGTATCTGAAAGGCATTTCTCCTTACTGGACAAAAACAATTGAAAGGGCCAAATGGGGATGCCCCAGATATCATCCAGGGGCCGTGCCAGTACAAGTTAAGCTTTTATTGATCTAAGAAATCAAATACTGGGGATTTTTTTCTCCTTGGTTGGAGACCAGCATTAATTCAAAACTGAGTTTGCAAACCAGCAGCCCAGAGGCTGAATCCAGCCCTTGACTGTTGACCATCAGTTTTAAAGAAGAATTTAAGTTAGTTGCCAGTACTTAGAAGTTGAAAGATTCCACATAAAACTCTCCTCGAAAAGCTGAGTGGTGGCCGACATTTTTGGCCAAGGCAAGGACTCTCTAGTTCATTACTCACCTGACAGCTCGACTCACTGCAGTTACCTGCCTAGTCTCCTTAGGTGTTCAGATTGCAACCTTTGGCCTGGAACTACTCACTCATGCAGATGCTGTATGTGAGCCAGGGTTGGGGTGTCAGGTTTTGTGATTCGGGTGGTACCATCTCTCTTTCTTCCAGATAACGTGGTGTGGCTGGGGGGGGGGAGCCCCTCTGTTTGCCTTTGCTGCGAGGCCCTACCCGGGCTCTGTTGGAGGGGACATTTGCCAGAGCCCGGTTTCCCAAAGATCCTCCCACGCTGAGCAGGGGATGGAAACATAACCCGCTGCTGGGCCAGCTAGCTAACTTCTGGGCACACCTCCATCCCTGCTCAGTGGGCTGAAAGAGTGTTCGGGTGGGGCAGGCTGGATTAATTGATTGCCCAGCGCCGCAGATTAAGAGGCCTAAGCATATTATTGGCTCCAGTGTCGGAAATAGGCTGTTTATGGCCCTCTTAAATGAGTTTGTTCCATGCCACATTCATGCTGACTCAAATCTCAGCTTCACATTGTAAGACCACTTTCTAGAATTGCTTGACACACCTAGTTGGAGTCTGCTTTATGCTGAAACTGAAGGACACGTTGCCTGGTTTGGGGCAGGGGCTGGAGCAGAGCAACACTTTGGGCAAACTTTCCAGATTCGCCAGGGCCTGCAAACTCCAAAGCACGGCTTGTATTTGAAGGCCCTGCCTAGTGCCAGACTCTCCACAAGACAGCGTTAATGACGGTCCACTTTAGAATACCCAATGTGTGAATTCTTTACCTGGTTCTTGACTCTAGAGCTGCGTTCATTCAGTAGCCACTAGTCGCATGTGGCAATTAAATGTAAAGCAATTAAAAACAGGAGCTCCTGGCTGGCTCAGTGGGTAAAGCATGCAACTCTTGATCTCGGGGCTGTGAGTTCAAGCCCCACGTCAGGTGTAGAGCTTCCTTAAAAAAATAAAAGTAAAAAGTGATTAAAAATTCGGCTCCTCAGTCACACTAGTCACATTTCATGTGCTCAGTAGCCACATGTGGCTTGGGGCTACCACACTGGACAGCACAGATAGAGAACACATCCATCACTGCAGAAAGTTTTGTTGATACAACAATACTGGTCTAGACTAAAATAGGAGAGGGGTAAGAAATAGCAAAATGATAGCTGCTTGCATGTTGATTTTTCTCTCCACTCCATTAAATCCAGGGAATCAACAGTGTTTGTAATGAAGAACATCACACTCTGAGCTGTAACCTGAATTCTTGTCCAAAATTCAGCACCCTGGCAGCGAGCACACGACACAGATTGCCACTTGTCCCGTCGGCGTCTTTGAGACACGCTTGCCCATCTAGGAAGGCACAGTGCAGGCATCTGTGTGTTCTGCCACTCGGGTGCCAACGCGGACCAGCTCACAGACGGTCCCTCCTGTCCCACTCGGGCTGCTTCTCTTCACTCCCTCAGGGCCTCTGAGCATCCCTGAGTTCTCCGTGATTGTTGGAATGGGAGTATAGCCACGTGCTGTCAGTTCCCGTTTTTCTCATCATGTGAAGATGTCCTTGATCTGATTCTGACCATGGTACGAGGCAGCGGCGCTGTCCGAAGACCTGGGGTGTTCAGAGGGCCGTGCAGACTGGACTAAATGCTCAGGTTGTGAGATCACCTTTCGCGGCCCTCCTCTCCCCTGGCTCGTGCAGCCGTCGGCGTGTTTAGGCGGCCCGTGCCACGGGACTGCTTCCCCATCTTTGCGTACCACACCTTATTCCCCAGGACTTGGGCCTCCTTTCTGCCGCTTTGTTTCATATGTGAATTGGACAGACGTGCTCCCGGATGGCTGGTGGAGGGCGCAGTTCCCAGGCCAGCCGAACAGATGGGCCACAAGCCACGTGGGCAGGTGGCTCACATTCCGGGAGTGACATTCTCCTCATTCTGGTCTGATCCTTTCCTTTTAGAGCTGAGGCACCCTAGGGGTCTGGGGTATTTTATTTCTCTTGGAAAACTGCCGTTCTGGGTCTAAGCGTGTGGCAAAAATGTTTCTCTCCTCCTGGTCTGGATGAGCCGCGCGGGTACGGCATCCGCCCCCAAGTCTCTGGGTGTGCGGCCCTTGACGGTTGTGGGTCCTCCTCAGCTGGCTGCCAGAAGGTGGAGCCCGGCACGGCTGGGCCACACGTTCTGCTCCCAGAAATTGGATGTTGCGTGTTAAGATCACCCGCCGGGGTTCATCCTGTTAGGCACGACTTTCCATTTTCCTTGATTTACGTGAGCAGTCTGGATTCCGGCAGCGCTGACTTGTGCCTCAGTGGTTCAGTCCCGTAGGCCGCGTTCCAGCGCGGGCCCGACTTTCTGAGGAACGGAGGGGCAGCCTTGTACCCAGGGACGGGAGGAGGCGGCTGAAGCCAGGCCTGAGTTTAGCTTCTGTGTCCTGGGCCTCAGTGAGCGGGGGCCGCAGGAGGAGGCGGGAGGTACTCCATAGAGCCGGCACAGGGGAACCTCCCGGCTGCCACTGTGCTCGGTCCCCGGTGCCAGCAGCCACTGGACGGGCCACAGAGTTCTTGGGAAAGCCAGTAATCACTTAGTAGCCATAAGCGTTCTCTAGCTCAGGGCTGTTCAGTAGGACTTTCTGCCACGACAGAAGCGCTGCCGATCTGTTCTGTCCGTGAGGGTAGCCGTTAGCCACGTGTGCGTGAGCATTGGAAGTGTGGCTCCCGCGTCTGAGCAACTGGATTTTTTATTTTACGGTTTTCTTTTTAAGATTATTTATGTATTTATTTTGAGGGAGAGAGAGCACGCGCACGAGTGGGGGAGGGACAGAGAGAATCCCAAGGAGGCTCAGCAGCGCAGAGCCCCACGCGGGGCTCGAACCCACGAGCCGTGAGATCGTGACCTGAGCCAAAGCCGAGCCGGCGGCGCTCAACTGACCGAGAGCCACCCGGGTGCCTCTTTATTTTAGTTTTAATTAATTTAAATGTAAACAGCTGCCTGGGCCTCACATGGGGGCGGTGCTTTGCGGCCGTCACTTTGGCGTGCACACCTGACCCCTGCTCCACCTTCACCGTGGCCCCGGGGGAGAGGTAAGGCCTCTGCCCTAGTTGACGCGGGGCGGCCCTGCTCGAAACGGCCAGGTGTCTTGCCCTTGGATACAGAGCCAGTGAGTAACCGAGAGGGAACTTGAATCCAGGTCTCTTGACTCCCACCCTTGGTGCGCTGTGTTCTTCCCACGGCAGAGAGCTGCTCGGTTTCCAGAGTACAGAGGAGGAAAGTGTGGTCTCGCGTGGGGCTTCCTTTGAAACAGATGATAATGTCAGGTGCCTGTGGAAGTTCCTCGGCCTGTTTGGAACCGTCCTCAATATTTGGGGCTACCTGCCTGTGTCTTTCTGTACTAATTGCCCCCATTCTTTTTTTTTTTTTTTTTTTTTAATTTTTTTTTTTTTAAGGTTTTGTATTTATTTTGAGATAGAGTGTGAGCGGGGGAGGGGCAGAGAGAGAGCGAGAGACAGCCCCAAGCAGGCTCCACGCTGTCAGTGCAGAGCCCGACGCAGGGCTCAACCCCACGAACCCTGAGATCATGACCCGAGCCAAAACCAGGAGTCGGATGCTTAGCTGCTGAGCCACCTGGGCGCTCCCTTGTTGGGCTTTCAATCCACAATGTAGAGTCCTGCTGCCTCTGGCTCCTACTCCCTGTCTGAGGGAGCAGTTGCTCCTTTCGGTTAGCCAAAAGCGCGTTCTCCTCGATCAGGGGCTAGAGGGACAGTCCGGCACCTCACAGAGCATAGGTGACCACGTGCTTATTAGGCGGAGAGCAACCTGACATACGGACCTAGTTTCATGTAATTGTTTTTCTCCTGTCAGTTATTTCAAATGAGTTTCCACTGTCTTTTTTTTTTTTTAAGTTTATTTATTTTGAGAGAAAGAGCGTAAATAAGTGAGGGAGGGGCAGAGAGAGGGGGAGGGAGAGGCCCAAGCAGGCTCCGCGCCGGCAGCATGGAGCCCGACGTGGGGCCCGAACCCATGGACGGTGAGATCGTGACCTGAGATGGAAGTCAGACGCTTAACCGACGGAAGCACCCGGGCGCCCCGCCCTGCCGATGCGTTTCGGTGACCCGTCACATTCGGGCCCAGTGCAGGGGATACCGTGACGAAAACACAGTCTGCCTTCACAGAGCTCAGGATTGACATCCTTTGTATGTCCCGTGGGAGGGAGCGCATGCCTGGGCCCCGCCTGGGAGCCCCAGGCCCGCTCCGGGACGTAGGCCTGAAGCAGGCGCTTCCGCCACAGTTCGATTAGGTTCTTCTGGTTCTGCCACGACCGGAAGGTGATGGGGGCTTGCGTGAGCGAACAGGGAAGTGGAATTTCCCTCCTCCTCCCTGGCAGGACCGCACGGGTGTGACCCCGGCAGGACGCCGCAGCCACGAGATGCCGCCTGTGCCCAGGCTCGCGGTGGCGGGGTGCTTCCCTGGTAGCGTGGGCTTCTCCGCGGGCACGGAGACGCTGCTGGAGCCGGAACTGGGCTCCCTCCGGCTGCCGAGGGCCCGTGGCTGTCTGTCCTCGTCACCCCAAGGGATATGGGCTGTTGAATAAGATTTTTCTTTTTAAGAAAATGCGTACAGTTTTCCCACTGTTATAAGAGAAACCCATGATTCTTTGTTTTCTTTTTTGAAGAATACAGGTAATGTATGAAGGAAAATAAAGTCTCAGTCACCTGGTAGGCCACCATCCAGGGAAAACCATTGTTGACCGTTTTTCACATATAGCATCTCTGGTACTTCCCTCCAGATGTTTTGTCTTGGGTTTTTAAAAATTGTATATTAAACAGACCCAAAGTATGTTTCTAACATGTGGAAAGTCATAAACTTGCTACCATACGTCTGGCCTTTGAGAACCTTATGCTAAATGAAAGAAGCCAGTCACAAAAGACCACAAACATAATTGCATTGATATGAAACGTGCAGAATAGGTGAGTCCATCGAGTCAGGAAGGGGACGGGTGCTTGCCGGGGGCTGGGGAGGGGTGGGGGAAATGGAGAGCCGTGGGGTTTCTCTTTGGGGTGATGGAAATATTCTAGTATCGATTGTGCTGTTTGTCACACAACTTGGTGCACGTGCTGAGCCACCGAATTGTACACTCCAAATGGGTGAGTTGTGTGGCCCGTGACTTCTGTCTCAGTAACGCTGTCATTAAAAAGTACAAATCAAAAGCACAGTGAGATACAACAGGCACCTGGGTGGCTCCGTCGGTTGAGTGTCCGACTTCGGCTCGGGTCGTGATCACGTGGTTCGTGAGTTCGAGCCCCGCATCAGGCTCACTGCCGTCAGCGTGTCAGCACAGAGCCGCTTCAGATCCTCTGTCCACCGTCCACCCCACCCCCCGCCCTTTCCCTGTTTACGTGCTCTCTCAAAAGGTAAATAAAACATTTTTTAAAAAACAAAATAATAACTTCTGGTGAGGATGTGGAGCAGTTGGAACCCTCATGCTCTTTTGGTGGGAATATAAAATGACGCAGCCATGGGGCACGCGGGTGACTCAGTTGGTTAAGTGACTGACCCTTGATTTTGGCTCAGGTCATGATCTCGTGGCTTCACGAGTTAAAGCTTCGCATCGGACTCTGCACTGACAGTGTGGAGCCTGCTTGGGATTCTCTCTCTCCCCCTCCCCCCATTCGTGCTCGTGTTCTCTCTCCCTCAAAGTAAATAAATTTTAAAAAATAAAATGACGCACCCACTGTGGAAGACAGTGTGGTGGTTCCTCAGAAAATGAGAAGAATTAGGGGCGCCTGGGTGGCTTAGTCAGTTAAGTGTCTGATTCTTGATTTCGGCTCAGGTCATGATCTCAGAGTCACGAGATTGAGTCCCGAGTCAAGCTCTGCACCGAGCTTGGAGTCTATATCCTTAAGATTCTCTCTGCCTGCCCTTCCCCTGCTCACACACCTGCACGCGGATCCCTCTCTCTAAAAAAATCTAAAAAATGAAAAGAATGACCACATGATCCGACAGTCCTTCTAGATACGTATCCAGAAGGATTAAAAGCGGAGAGTTGAGCAGGTAGGTTTATACCACGTTCGCCACATTCCTAATAGCTAGAAGGTGGAAGTGGCCCAAACACGATGGATGGATGACGGATAGACAAGTGCGGTGTATACATATGACGGAACATTGTTTATTCGTCCTTGAAAAGAAAGGAAGTTCTGACTCATGCTGCATAACCTGAATGAACCTTAAGAACATTACGTTAGGTAAGCCAGCCACAAAAGGACAAATACTATATGATTTCACTTGCGTGTGGTCCCTAAGGTTATCAGATTCACAGAGACGCAGAGTAGAAGGTGGGGAGTGGGGGCTGGGAGCTGTCATTTAATGGGGACAGAGTTTTAGTTTCGCAAGATGAAACCGTCCTGGAGATTGGTTGCCCAGCAATGTGACCTAACGCTACTGAGCTGCACACTTACAAATGGTTAGGACAGGAAATTTCATCTGTATTTCCCCGTGATTTGAAGATCGTTAAACCTGCGTGCTCGCCGCTCAGCCGAAGAGTAGAAAACTAGCATTACCCTGGTGCACAGGTCCCTTCTTGCAGGCAGAGGCCACCTCGCTCCTGAATTGTCCTTTCCTTTTCTTCCTAGTTACCACACACGAAAACGTTCCTAAATGCCGTATCCTTGCGTTCTGTGTGCTTCTGAATGTGTCTGTCCGTCTGCGTGTGTTCTGAACCTGCTTTCTCCTTCGCTTTGCGTGGCAGGGATTCAGCTGTACCTCCGGTTTCCCTCTCGTGGAGGAACAGCTCAATTTATCGATCCCTTCCCATCAGTTCTGCTCTTCTCGGACAGTGCCACTCAGAACTTTTTTGCGCAGCTCTGACTTTTGGGGAGGTATCTGCAGACTTTGGGGATCCCATGTTTGAGACTACTTCTGTAATTTCAGATCCCTCTGAGAGAAGCTTCCCAGTGGTGCAGGGGACCCCAGGGCCACATGCCGGGCAGGCTGCCAGCTGTGCAGAGAAGGTGCCCGCACCCAGGGAATGGAGTTTGTCAGGTTGCTTCTTCATTACGGCCACCTTCTCACCACAAAGCCAGTGTTTCCAGGGGATCCCTCTGATGCGAGCACAGATTCAGAGGAGGAGAGCGGAGGGTCTCGGGCCCACTGTGGTTAAAAGCAGAGGGAGGGAGGCGGATCCAAGAGCCCCGGTCACAAGTGCCCGTGACCCTGAGGCCACATCTGTAGCAGCCACCCCAGCTCAGATGGGTTGATGTTCTGCTCCACAGGCTGGTTAAGGGCTCAACGGTGCACATCGATCTCAGCACTGGCAGAGGGTGTGCAAGGGCGTAACCCTTACTTCGTGGTAAGTACCACGGAACGTGCTGAATTCGAAAGGTTCAGAAGCCATTTGGTAAACGGGACTCTCCTTTCTGGAGCCACTCCATGGCCCTCCCCGAGTGATAGAATTCTCAGGTCTTTGTACTTCCAGAAATGCGTGTAAAAGCAAGCATGTGCACTAAAGTTAGCATACTCTAATCACTGTTCTGGATTTGGCCTTTTTCACTGATCTCGTAGATACTTTTCCGTCACTGCTCTTTCCCTCTCATACTCTTCTCTTTTTTTTTACATGAACTCTTTATTAGGACTCTTACTGGTCATTACACACCTGCCATGGAAAGCACAAATGAAGTCCCTTAAGCCCCAGAGACTCCCAGTTAGCTTTTTTTCCCCCCCCCCCATATGCACTTGTATACCAGGGTTCAAGTTGGGGGTTGGCTGGTAATGCTCTGGAATTGTTCAGGGCAACCTTCTAACTAGGCTCCTTCTTTAGTTGGTTACATTTGACCCGGAAACAAGCAAGCCACACGTGGGTGGGCCCTGGGGTACCTGGGTGGTGATGGACATGCCTCTCTCCTGGGAGTAGTCAGCCACCAGGTTTCTGAAGTAACTGCCCATGGCAGCCATGTGAACTGAACCCTGTGGTCCAGGCAGCTTTTAACACCTATGTTTGCAGGCACATAGGGCACCCCAGCTGCCACAGCCAGGTGGAAGTTGAGTACTTGATGGGGTGGCCTCTAACAGATGGGGGCCCCAACGTGTGTGTGTGTGTGTGTGTGTGTGTGTGTGTGTGTTTCAAACCTTGCTATCTCCTTGTATATCTTGGAAATCTCCTTCTCCAGACTTCAGATTATATCCTTTGGCAATGAAACAAGAACAAGGATCCCTTTCCTGAATTTGGGCCGAGTAGTTTGCCTTTGAGAGGATTCGAGAGGGTCAGGGCAGTGGTGTGGCAGTGCCTGCCTGCTGGACTGGCTGCAGAGGCTGCCTTGTTTGAAGGCCCCTGGGATGTTACTTCAGTGTGGCTTACGCTCTTTTGTTTTTGCACCGTGGGCGACTGGTGATGGGTAGGAGTGGGGTGGCGGGCCCACAGAAAGCTGCGGCGGCTTTAGGAAGCTGGCGTGCCCTGGATGTGTATATTGGGGGAGCAAACCCGTGTCCACACACACTCCTCTGAGCTGTGGTGTTTGTGACTTTCCGGCAGCCGGAAGGCAGAGGGTGGACAGCCGGCCATGTCCCCTCACTGTCCGTTCCTGTGCCGTCGGGCCTGACGCAGGCACACGTGACAGCAGCGGTGAGACAGGAACCCGGAGGGTACAGGGTCAGGCTCGAAGGGACCCGTAGACACACCTACTCATCTGTGTCAACAAAGGACAGGAGAGTACCGTGCCCACCACGCCTGCCCCTGCGACGGGCTGGGAAAAGGCAGGCGGTGTGGATAGGGATGCCGGCGGGGCTTGCAGAAGCTGGGGGAGGGCGAGGTGGGATGTCCCTGCTGACGGGTCTCCAGAATGGAGCAGTCTGTTCTAGGTCGGTGGGGTTTCAACAGGCATTTCTTATTGGGCCTCACGGTACTTTTTTCCACCATGTTCAGGATGGCTACAATCTGCTGGGCAAAGAGGGCACCGTACTGAGGTCGAGTTGGGTTTGGTCAGGAATATTCTATAATCCCAGTCTTGACACCCACGTTCGGCTTTGAACATTCTAGAGGAACCTTGTGGCCAGAAAGGCATCCCTGGCCTCGCTCTGATAGTCAGCAGGACACACGGCCTTGGAAGTGTCTCCTCTCCACCACCTGAACGCGCGGCCCGGGAGCAAGCCCTCTCTCCCTGCCCCTGCACACGCGCGTGCAGTCAGCCCCTTACCAGTGACTTACCCGACCAGCGTGAAACCCTGCCTCTCAGGTTGGCGTGTTTGCTAACTGGCTTCTAAAGTGCTGAGTCCTGCTTGGGAGGAAGGACTGAAACAGCCCCATCTCCTCTCTCTGAACGAAAACCAAGTGGAGGCCTTGAAAGGGCAAACCCCACTTTTCCTGTTTTCTCAACTTCCGGTGGACTCTTGTGGAAACAGCTCATTGACCGACCCATCGTGGAGAGGCAGCCCTGACTACTGGTGAGCCTCTTTGGCAACGTCCCATGTTTAGGAGGCTTCTTGTCCGACCCCCAGGGAACGACTTCTCCCCAGTGCACGCCAGTTAATTAGGGCCTGTGATTTAATTAGGAGGCTTCCTTGAGCCCAGCTTAATTACAGTTACCTTTTCAGGATAAAGACTTCCCTCTGCCCGAGTCCCAGCCCGTGCCTTTTGCTACAGTGCTTCCCACCGGATCGGAGGCCCCTCCTGGAGGATGCCCTTCCCCCTGCCCCTGGGGGCACAGTCAGCCCGTTACCAGTGACTTTTCCTTTCTTGTTTTTTTTTTTTTTTTTTAATGTTTTATTTGCTTTTTGAGAGGGAGAAGACAGTATGAGCGGGGGAGGGGCAGAGAGAGACAGAGACACCGAATCTGAAGCAGGCTCCAGGCTCTGAGCTCTCAGCACAGAGCCCGACGCGGGGCTTGAACTCACGGACCGCGAGATCATGACCTGAGCTGAAGTCGGTTGCTCAACCGACTGAGCCACCCAGGCGCCCCTAAGTGACTTTTCCTTTCTGATGTGCCCACAGGAGAGTATTGATCAGGCATTTTCCTAACAGAGTGAAACTGCCTCTTAGGTTTGCTTATTTGTTGGCTGAAAGTAGTTTCTACTATGCTGAATCCTGCCTGGGGGGAGTAACTGGAAGGAGTGCTCAGGGGTCTGTCGCTGTGGTCTCGGGCTCTGATCGCCCGGCCTTTGTCCCTGAAGTGCGCCCATGACAACCTGATTTTCACCACATCTAACATGTAATTGCTTTCATCTCTGAAGGAGGGCCAGGGCCCAGAGCTTCTGGGGGTGGCCTTGTTTCACAGCCGCTGAGGCATATGTGAGAGGTGCTCTGCACTGCCTGTGACAGGGGGTAAGTGACTTGATCCAGCCTTGAGCCGTGTCTAGCAGTGCCCTCTCAGAGGCTGGTATAAAGAAGGCTTTTTACCAGATGAACAGAGAACACAAAACTAGGAGAAACAGTATATGCTAGACAGCAGTATGGAGATTTGGAAAGATCTGGACAGGCTGAAACAAGCCAAATGGAAATGACAAGGCGCGTACAGGTCTATATTTAGGTTTGCCCATCAGGGGGTGTGGAAAGACTCTGCTTTGGATGCGAAGTCTGCACTGGAGGGACCTCACGTAGGATCCCGAAACTGCCTGCGGTGCCCCGTGGCCCACGGTCACAGCCAGCTATCTGGCCTTGACCCAGAGCTGAGCTGTCTGTAAGCGTCCAGATTTGTCTTCCGCTGGTGAGGGTCAGGCCGCCCGTCCCTAGTCCCAGGGGGACGTCGGATCAGCTCAGCCACTTGAAGTGGGTCTTTGTGAAGTGTTTCTCATACGAACGAGAGGAGGATTTACTGGCAGTAAACACCTACAGAGTCCTGGAGGACCAGGGTCAGAATGGGCCAGAACCTCTGGGGCCCTCTGTGTCATCCGTACACTAAATTTCAGAGTCCCTGCTGTTCTTGGGGCTGCTGGCTTTGGGAAGGGCCGTGGGGGCTTTGTGTAGCTTGTCCTCTGTTGACGGCCGGAGGAGTTTTGTGCTCCATCATCCAAGGCGGAGGCGACCCTATCTATCTGTCTTTTGTCCCGCAGGGCAGGGCTGACTCCTTCTAAACTTTGCAAAGGGCAGAGTGTTTGGCACCGTTGGTCTCAGGTCTGTTGGTTTCCATCAAAGAAGCTTCCTCCTGCAATCGCCGTGATTAACCAAGAGCACGTGTCACTCTGCCGACCTTGGGCCTCTGTGTTGATAAGAATCCAGGCTGAAACCATTCTTTCTTCCTTGGGGCTCCTTAGGGAACTTGGATCTGTCCACTGCCTCAGGCTATCTCCCGGGCCCAGTACACATCATAGGCTGTCATCTTCTGGAGAGCTGGGTACCCCTTCTTTCCTGTGTCTTTTCTACATTTCACTAGTAATCATTCTCTCAGAAAAACAATAAAATCTTTCCTGTCTTACACATTGGGTTCCAGGGAGGATTAACTCCTAAGTGAGATGTGGTGCCCTCAGGAGCTCAGGCTCTCTGCTGAGCGCCAGGCCCAGACGTGAGTCACGAACCTCTCGCGGCGTCTCAGCGCCGAAGCGTGGTGCGTGTGCCCCTCAGCCTAACTATCTCCTCTCTCTCCCCCCCCCCCCCCCCCCCCCTCCAAGGGTGAGCGTGTCGGCCACAGACTGTTACATCGTGCACGAGATCTACAATGGGGAGAACGCCCAAGACCAGTTTGAGTACGAGCTGGAGCAGGCCCTGGAAGCCCAGTACAAGTACATCGTGATCGAGCCCACGCGCATCGGCGACGAGACTGCCCGCTGGATCACCGTGGGCAACTGCCTGCACAAGACCACCGTGCTGGCGGGCACCGCCTGCCTCTTCACCCCGTTGGCGCTGCCCTTAGATTACTCCCACTACATCTCCCTGCCCGCAGGCGTGCTCAGCCTGGCCTGCTGCACCCTCTACGGCATCTCCTGGCAGTTTGACCCTTGCTGCAAGTACCAAGTGGAGTACGACGCCTATAAACTGTCCCGCCTGCCCCTGCACACACTCACTTCGTCCACCCCGGTGGTGCTGGTCCGGAAGGACGACCTGCACAGAAAGAGACTGCACAACACGATAGCACTCGCCGCCCTGGTGTACTGTGTAAAGAAGATTTACGAACTCTATGCCGTATGATTTCAGTAGAACAGGGAGAGAAGCAATCGGCCCGGCCCACGAGAGACCACAGAGTGTTCAGATTTGCCACAGTAACAGGTTTTTTTGCTCTGTGAGGCGGCGGCGGAGCCTGGGAAGGTGTTTGGTTTAATATCTGTTATTTTAAAAAAATAACACAGGTCACAGGCGTACCAAGGGTTTTTCAACTCCTTACACTAAGATGTGGATTTCCATAACCCGCAGGGGGTCCGAGTGGTGGAAGTCTGGGAAGACCGGGCGGTGCGCGTTGGCGGCACGGCTGCCGAGGGGATGTGAATGCGCTTGCGGGGGGCGGGGGGAGGTCTTTAAGTATATTGTTTAACTGTACCATCCAGAGCCAACCAGAAGCTATTGACCATTAAAATTATGAGAATTTCAACTTCGGGTGTCTTCTCTTTCCATGACTGCCTCGCTGCTGCCCACAGTCTGCTCTGGGTGGTGGCTCGCCCCGGGGCAGCGGTGGGCACCTGGTGTCGCCATCCACAGCAAGGACGGGCCTCGGAACAAGGCAGGCCCAGACCCTTCCCAGAGCGGTTCACCTCGGACGGCGGCCTCGTTCTCAAGGCCAGCACAGCTGAATGCTGCTCGGGCCACGTGGTAGGATCAGGTGACGAGGTCCAGAGGTCACTGGGTTTCCGTTTGGGTCCATGTGGAGAACTGAGGCCTGGGATCCCCTGTCCAGAGCTTTTGAGTTTGAAGGACACACAAATGAACATCCGGCACCTGAGCTGTTCCTGAGGTGGACCCTGAGTTCAAGCCCACTGCCCTAGGCTGAGGAAGCACCCTCCCCTCGGCGCCCGTCTCAGTGTTCCCATTCCATAGCAGTCAGGTCCCGTGTCCCCCTCACAGCAAAGGGCAGATTGCACACCATCCTCCATATCCCTGTAAGGTTTCGGATAAATGAAACCGGCCTTTCCACAAAGACACTGGGTTCCCCGCCTTAACCGCAACCTTCCTAAGACCTGCTCAGTCCTCCCTGAAGAGCTACATGGTACTTCTTTCTGAAGGGTCCATCTTCCAAGAAGCAACCTAGTTTTAAAGGCTCTACCAGGAAGAGCTGACACCAGAGAATAATGAAGGGGTGCATGCGGAGGTGTCCAGAGCTCAAAGGGAGTGACTGGGCTATTTATTATAAGGGAGATTCAGAGCTTTGAAAAGCTTTCAAAATGGACCGTCCGTCATCCACAAAGAGTTTGAAAAACTGTAACTCCGAGGAGCCTAGAAGTACTAATCACTCATTCGAATGCCGGGTGGCAAAATGGTGTCGGGTACACAGTGTCGTTTACGGGGCAGTCTGCCGCCTGGAGCCAAAGGATGAATTGGTAGCGAGCCCAGACAAATAGACCTGGTCTCAATTGTGCAGTGCCTGCGGTCCCTTGGGTGTCTGGCTGCTGGCTCCCGAGCCTGCCGGGCCGGAATGGTAGGTGTTTTTGTCATAAACGGCCCACGTTCGGAAAGGGAGCCCCATGCTCTGCCTGCACATCAGCTTTCCTGGGGCAGGAGGCTAGAAGTGGACAAGTAGGCATCTCGGTGGGTTGAGGGCTGGGCAGAAGCCCTCACCAGGAGAAGAGGCCAAGTGCGAACAAGGTGCCTGAGGCTGCGCTCAACAAACTGGTTCTTGTCTGGTGGACTAGCCCAGGTTCTGAGACACCACCTCACTTAACAGGTCTCGTGCCAGGGTGAGGGCTCGGCACTGCTGGGGAGCGCGGGGCAGGACTCTCATGTTCCAGGCCTCTACGCGAGCAGCGCCCCAAACTGGCTGGGAAGGGGAGCGGCAGGATCACACCTCCCGCAGCTGGAAGGATTCCCTTCTGTGGGCGCCGGCTTCTCTGTTTCCGTCGCCTTCCCACTTCGACGTCGCTGACAAGTGGGTTGTGCTCCTCTGTGACGTGCCACGATGCTCTGGAAGAAACAGCAATTTTTAAGTCACTGCCAACTGAGAAACAAAGGCCAAGTCGGCTGGGCCCTTCTCTGCAAAGTCCACACACGAGCCCTGTGCGTGCCATTTCTGTGAATGCATCGTGCAATTAACCTAATTACGTGAGTCTTGTTGGAACTGCCCAGTCTCACCCCAGTTTCAGAGGAGAGCAAAGAGCCTTTGTGAAGGTCAACTCATCAAGAATGCGGGGGGAGCAGACCCTGGCAAGCACTCACGGACGGTCTCTCTCCGTTAGTCTATCTGTGCCCTCCAAAGTGTTCACATCTGCTTCAGCAGCTGTCAGGCCCCGCTGAAGGGGAGGGAGACTCCTTCCATGGAGCCTGCGAGGAGCCGGGCAGTGCGCCCAGGCAGCTGCGCGCTCACCATTCCATCCAGTCACTCGCGAGCCGTGGCCGCTCAGCAGTGCACAGATGTGTGGTGCTGCCATCTGGAAACTCACTTGGTTGTACTTTCCATGCTCTGATTTGGGCACGAAACACAGGCGCGCCTGCTTCTGCCCTCGGACCAGTGAAACACCAGGAGACCTGAAGAGCAAAGTGGAAAGTGCCTTTGAACTTCATCTGCAGGCAGAAGCAATCCAGAACTGAGCTTTTCAAGCATACCCAGAATCCCAGGATGCAAGAGAGAGAGGAGAACAAAGCTTTGAGGACAGAAAGGAGAAACTGGAACAGCACCACCACCACCCCAGGCAGCAGATGTTCGTATTCAGACACCGATCTGAAAGCAAGAGTGACATGATCAGGGAAACACAAATCAAAACCACAGTGAGATACCACCTCACACCTGCCAAATGGCCACGATGAACAACTCAGGCGACAACAGATGTTGGTGCAGATAAAGAGGAACCCTTTTGCACTGCTGGTGGGAATGCAAACTGGTGCAGCCACTGTGGAGAACAGTATGGAGGTTCCTCCAAAAACTGAAAATAGAACTACCCTGCGACCCAGCAATTGCACTATTAGGACTTTATCTAAAGGACACAGGAGTGCTGATTCGAAGGGGCACATGCACCCCAATGTTTATAGCAGCACTATTGACAGTAGCCAAAGTATGGAAAGAGCCCAATGTCCACTGCCTGGTGAATGGATAAAGAAGATGTGGTATATACATTCAATGGAATAAATGTATTCCAATCATGATTTCACTCACAGGTGGAATTTAAGATAAAAAACAAATGAACATAAGGGGAGGGAAGAAAAAATAATATAAAAACAGAGAGGGAGACAAACCGTAAGAGACTCTTAAATACAGAGAACAAACTGAGGGCTGCTCTCGGGTGTTGGGTGGGGAGATGGGCTAAATGAGCGATGGGTACCAAGGGCACTTGCTGGGAGGAGGACCAGGTGTTATATGTAAGTGATGAGCCACTAGATTCTATTCCTGAAATCATTAGTACACTATGTGTTAAGTAACTAGGATCTACATTTTTAAAACATTTTTAAAAAGAGATGCCAAGTTGGGGTCCTGGTCCCCAGGAAAGGGGCTGCGGCTGCCATTCCAGTGGAGACAGCAAGCCCCGCCTTTACCAGGCAGTGCTGTCTCCGGGGAGCCGCGCCCAACTCCAGAGGCCCCCCCCCAACATGGCTTGACGTGCCACACAGACTTTTGAAGAACCCTGAATCGCTTGCCCTTTTAGTCCTCTGCGTAGTTTCTAAGGCCGGAGAGAGCATGTGCTGCGGTGCGAGCGCGTCTTCAGTACCTCTCTGACCTTGCCAACCTCCTCAAGGGCAGCTGGGCCTCAGCCTTTGGCAGACAGCCAGATCCAGCTAAATTTAACGGTTGTTTGTGTTATATTATTCACTATTCATACGGTAGAATATAAGGTTTCTAAAGTAAGTTTTAGCAAGTGAGTTGGTTGAGTCCTCAAGAATGTGCGGTAAAGACACATCCAGTGGTTTGGGATCTGGCTCAAGTGTCGTGTCTAGGTTGAGACCCTGCACGTCTGCTCCAAGTTCTGCGTGCCACCTGCACCCCAGTCAGGGCTTGGGGGGGCTCCCAGCCACTGTCACAGTGGCCCCCAAAGCAACCACCTCAACAGTGCGTTTGACGTCATCTTTTGAGGACAGACCGTGTGGCTGCTAAACGTGTGTTCTTTTGAGGGCAGGAGATCGCATCGGCCTCCAGGTGCTGCCCGTTTTGCTTATCGGAGAGTAAAGGGCAGCACTTGGATACGGGCCCTGTTGAAAGTGCCCATCAACAAGTGTCCAAGGAGAGATGTTCTCTCATTCCCATTTAGAGGAAAAGCTTTCTTTGTCACTGCCTTTTCCTGAGCACCTGCTGTGCCCTTGGCCATTTAACTCAATGTCACGCTCGGCTTTAGAGTGGCTGCTACTGCTGTCTTGGGTCCAGCTCTTTCCTGGCTCTAAGAGCCCTGATGTGAACAGTAAGGTCTCTCTGTTCCATGTCTGGAGGGAAGTAGATGGTTTATTTGGAAGGATGAAGAGCCAACCCATATGTCTATATCCACATTTCAACCAGGGGCCCTTGGAATGTTCAGGCCCATGGTGGGAGCTGGGGAAGATCACCAGATCTAATGCCCCACTCTTCATGCTCCTGCTCTCAGGAAACTTGACGGCCTCAAACACTAACCACAGGCTGTGGCTTTGGCCATTTTTATTTCAGGGATAGCTTTTAAAACACAAGCTCCATAGGACCAGAGTTGGGACACAGTGCGAGGTGCTGGTATGATATGCAAGATTTTTATTCCAAGTTGGGAAAGTCATACAATGCACCCACAATTTCCACTTTCAGCCTCAATAATAGGAAAAGTTTCATCCTAGACTTTATATATGAAGTTGATTCACTCATTGAACCTCAAGCATGTATTTTTAAGAAATCAAAAAGGTGGAAGCAGGCATCCAACAGGCACAGCTAGCAAATGACTGTGCTCTCACCAGGGACCAGATGCCGCTTTAGAATCCCTCCCCACCTGACCAGGCTTCTGAGTCTTCTTTCCTAGAGGATACACGGGACCATGTGGGGTTTTCCTCTCCCTTTTGCCTGTTTCCTTAATAAATTCGTCTTCTGCTTGGAGTGGGGCCTGGTCTACGGGGCTTGAGGTGAGAGTTTACAGGGGAAACAGGGAACTCCTTTTAGGAACTAAAGCCGGCATCACTTGGGTTACGCTGGAAGACAGAAGGCGTATTAGCCCATTGGTCATGTTGGATGATGGACTGTAGAGCCCTGAAAATGGATATGGATGGTGGCTTCTTACGACAGCCTTCTCCCCTGAGTGCTGCAGGTGCCTCTGCCAAAACAATTAGGCACGTGGTCCAGGTAAATCAAATATGAGAACTGGGTCAGGTGATGTCAGGATGTCTTCTGTTTTCAAGGCTGAAACACTTTCTAGGAGCTGGCGGAGGCTGGAATTCAAAGGAGGCATAGTTCTTTCAGCCCTTGAGGACTACACCTCTGACTGCTCATTCACTTATTTCAGGTCC